AGCGTCTGCCTTCAGCTCAGCTCTTGATTTTGGGGTCCTGGGATTGACCCCCATGTCGGGCTCCCTGCCCAGTGGAGAGTCTGCTTCTTCCTCTCCCTTGGCTCCCCCCTGCTCTTTCTCTGTGTCTCAAATAAAAATCTTTTTAAAAGGGACACATGAAAAAAAATAATAAATAAATAAATAAATAATAAAAATAAAAGGGACGCATGGGTGGCTCAGTGGTTAAGCATCTGCCTTTGGTTCAGGTCAAGATCCCAGGGTCCTAGGATCAAGTCCTGCCATCAGGCTCCCCACAAGGAGCCTGCTTCTCTCTCTGCCTATGTCTCTGTCTCTCATGAATTAATATCTTTTTTTTTAACCTTTACAAAAACCAATATCCATCACCATACACAAAGAACTTTTATTGTTGTAATGAGAACTTTCAAGATTTACTCTTTGGAACTTTCAAATATGCAATATAATATTATTAACAATAGTTGCCATGTTGTACATTATTTTGTGTGTGTGTGTGTGTGTGTGTGTGTGTGTGTGTGTGTGTGTGTGTTTTAAAGCAGGCTACCCTCCTAGGATGGAGCCCAACACGGGGCTGGAACTCATGGACCCAAGATCAAGACCTTAGTTGAAATCAAGAGCTGGAAGCCTAAAAGACTGAGCCACCCAGGCATTCCCATCTAAGTGTGTTTTTTAAGGAGAATCAAACTATCATCTTTTTTTTTAAATATTTATTTATTTATTTATTTATTTATTTATTTGAGAGAGAGAGAGAGGCAGAGAGAGGTAGAGACACAGGCAGAGGGAGAAGCAGGCTCCATGCAGGGAGCCTGACGCAGGACTCGATCCTGGGTCTCTAGGATCATGCCCTGGGCTGAAGGCAGCGCTAAACCACTAAGCCACCGGGGCTGCCCAAAAACTATCATCTTTTTACTTAAATTGATATTTATAAATTGTTCAGGTGGAGGTAAATAGGCAAGGACTAGACTAGCCCCTAAGTTCTGTTATACATCTACATCTGAGACCCTAGAAGAAAAAAGGAACAACTGCCTACCTAGAACAGCTCATTAAGAGAATCAGAGGTACCTACAACGTACAACTATTTCCTGTAACAAATACTTTACAAATGCCTTCATGTTTTTCAGAATCAGTTGTAGATTCTAACTATTCTAATCACATTTCAAATAATGTTTAAAAACAATTTCTCAGGACTCCTGGGTGGTTCAGTGGTTGAGTGTCTGCCTTCAGCTCAGAGCATGATCCTGGGGTCCCGGGATCAAGTCCCACATCAGGCTCCTAGCGAGGAGCCTGATCCTACCTCTGCATATGTCTCTGCCTCTCTCTGTGTCTCTCATAAGTAAATAAATTTTTTAAAACTGACATTTCAGGATGCCTGGGTGGCTCAGCTGTCTGCCTTCAGCCCAGGGTGTGATCCTGGAGTCCCTGGATCGAGTCCCACGTCGGGCTCCCTGCATGGAGCCTGCTTCTCTCTCTGCCTGTGTCTCTACCTGCCCGCCCCCATGAATAAATAAATAAAATCTTTGAAAAAAAAAAAACCCTGACATTTCTCAGCTACCCAAGTAAAGTTTATAGAAGTTTTATTTTCCCCCTAAGTCTCTAAAATAAACTTCTTGTGTTTATGAGATCTTTAAAACCTGTACATTTTAAGCGACTAGTAACTCTAGCAAGTAAATAACCATGTCTATTAACAATCCTTATACACTTATAGTTTATAATTTTCCAAGCACTTCTGTATGCATTAATCAATAACGTGATCCTCATAACAGCATTGCCAGGTAAGTTTTATCACTATTTTAACAGATGAGAAACTCAGAGTTCAGAGAAGGTGAGTAATCGCCCCAAGTCACAGAGCTTGTACATGATTGAGCAGTTACCTGAATCCAGGTAAAGACTCATCAGGAATATGCTTAAAGGAGAGGCTACATAATGAAAAGTAGAAATCCACAGATTACTGAGAAGAGTAGGACCCAGCAATAATGAAGCTAAAGAAACCGTGTAGTGGATCATGAGGGGTTAGGGACATGTCTACTAATAATGAAAGAAACCATTAATGGCATCCTTACAAATAACAGCATTGTTGCTATTAACAATGGTGATGGCTGGCATGTATCACATCCTTACTATATATATGTCAGGCCCATGCTCTACATGCATCCTCAAAGTAAGCCTTATTCCTACACTCCAAATGAGAAACTGAGGTCTGGAGAGGTTAAGTATCTTGCCCTGGGTCACAAAAATTTTCAATCATGATGAGGAGATTCAAATCCAGGACCCCAGAGCTATGACTCTTAAACATTAGGATATAAAGAAAAGAATGCCTCCTAACTTGGGCCACTCCTGAGCCACAAACCTCAAAGCTATGAAAAAAAGTATATGGGGTTATCCAGTGCCCAGCACAGGGCTCATCACACAGAAGGACCTGAAATGTATTCCATATGCCCTACAACTAGCTGTTTGAAGGGGGAGGGGCCATTAACACCTCCCAGGAAGGCAGTGTGTTGGGGCGGCAAGGAGAAGCCGACTGAGGAAGGGGAGGGGGGATATCTACTAAACATTCTAAGGATCTGAAGTCTGATCTAAACCTGAAGGTCTCTAGAGTAAATGAAGCATGAAAGGCCATGCTCTAACCATACAAAACAAACAAAAAGGATCCTAAGTTGCTGGTAAGCTCACGGTCTATAACCTGGACCGTGCTAGACAACATCCTGAGACTTTCAAGTGCTTCTCTTCATTCTGAGTAAGCAAAACAGGCTAAAGAACAAGATATATAACTAGCAGTTTCCTGTATCAATCAAGGCTAGACATAGCACTGGTAAAGGAAAAATTCATCAAGATTTCAAAGAGAAGACTTATGACCTCTTTCTCTCTTTGGAAATAGGTTCGGCTTGTTAGAAAGTTTAGTTTACTAGGCACTGAATCTCAGGGGTGGCGGAGAAGAATAGAGAACGTCCGAATGATGCCCAGCCGCAAGGACTCTGTGCTCCCAGAACACTCCAAGCTCTTTCTTTCCCACTTTGGAACCTTCATATACACCCTTTCCCTCTGCCTTTAGCACAGGCGTCATCTTTGCACACAGGTCTTCTTAATCCATCTCATCGAAGCAGTCTACCTTTCCCCGTGACCTTCCATCACTAAACCCAGCTTGTTACCTTCGTAACACTTTTTTCTCCATTAGTAATCTTTCTTATTTACAAGCAGAGTGTCTTCCTTCCCCCATCCCGTCAGGAGTGTAAGCCCCACCAGGAATGAGACTGCCCGGTTCACTTATTTCTCTATACCTAGTGTTACAGTCTATCCCAAGGCCCAGGCAGGTGCTCAATAAAAAAATTTTTTGAACAGCAACAAAGTAAATTTATACAGCTTTTTCAAACTACCAATCTCCGCACCCCTCCTTGCCAAAACAAACACAAAACAAAAAACCACTTGCATTATTTTTATAAATTTTGTAGGTCACCCATTTTGCATAAGCAATACAACCCTAAATTGTCATTTTGCTGTTTCATTTCCCCGCCAGCAACTACTAGACTGGAAAGCTGTAAGATCAGGAAATCCATGCTTTACTCCGTCTGGATAGTGTGCCGTGCAAACATAGCGGCATCCAATAACTAATTCAATTTGAATTAATTATGAAGGCCTGCACAGAAAGTGTCCTCTGAGCTCTGACATCATCCCGTCTATATATCACCATTCTTTATGTGTATTAAAATTATCTCATAGGGAGGGCAACCGGGATTTAAAAAAAAAAAAAAAAAAAAGGGCATAAAATGCTGTCTCTGCTTCCGGAACGCAGACACTCTCATAAACACCAAACAGCCAGTAGAAGTGGAACCTACCAGGTCGTGACACACCTAGACACACGGTTCAGACAGACCAGAGAGCCCCTTCGGACACGTTTCCATCAAAGAGTAACCATGGCGACACGGACCACCAGGGGTACCCGACCGACCCTGCGAATCGTGTGACCTAAGCAGCGAGCTGAGGTCGGCAAGAGATTTCTGAGATTCCCGGTTTTAAAAATAACATTACTCCTCCAAATTCCACGGGAAACTTAAGGAAATGGCCCCGACGGGCTGGGGCCTGGTGCTGCTCACCCCCCCCCCACCGCACCGCACCGCACCGCACCGCGCCGCACCCCACCCTCGTCGGAGCCGCGCGGCTCCGCGAGCGCACTCGGGCGGGGAGAGCCGTGAATGAGGAAGCTGCCTCGGGAGCGCAGGCGGCGCGGCGGCGCCCGGACCCCTGCCCTTCCTCCGCCGCACCCCTGCACCCCCCGCCGCGGTCTGCCGCACCGCCAGCACCTCACAGGTGGCCCAGGCCGAGCGCCCCCCCCCCCGCCGAAGTTCGGAGGCGCGGGTGGGTCCCGCAGGCGCGGGCCGGGAGGTCAGCTCCAGCTGCGCCCCCGCGGGGAGCCAAGATGGCCCTGCGCGGGCCCCGCTGCGGCGGCGGCGAAGGAGCGCCGGGGGCCGGGGCTGGGCTGGGCTGGGCCGGGCTGGGCTGCGCGCGCCGCCGCCTCGCCGCCTACCTGCCGGCCCGGCGCGGGCCCGGAACCGCGGGCGGGGCGGCGCCAGGTGAGGGCGGCGGCGGCGGCGGCGCGGCGGGGGCGGCGGGGGCGGCGGGGGCGGCGGGGGCGGCGGGGGCGGCGGCGCGGCGGGGGCGGGGTGGGGGCGGGGGCGGGCCAGGTGGGCCGGGGCGCCGGGCGCGGGGCGCGGGGCGGCCGGGCGCGGGCGGAGGCGGAGGCGGAGGCGGAGGCCGCGGCCCCGGGCCTGCGCGCGGGGCCCACCCGGGGCCGCCCGGGCGCGCGGCGGGAAGCGGGAAGCGGGAAGCGGGAGCGAGGGCGGGCGCGGGCGCGGGCGGCTCGGGTGGCTGCCTCCGCCGGCTCCGGGGCGGCCGCGGGCGCGGGGACAGGCCGCGGCGACCGCGACGGCCGCGCCGGGGCGGGGGGGCGCCGGGGGTGGGGGCCGGGGTCGCGGCGCTGGCGCGCTCCTTACCCTGCATGCTGCTGACGGCCGGGTGGCCCGGCGCCGGGGGCCCCGCGGGGCCCGGGGTGCCGCTGCCGCTGCCGCCCCCGGAGCCGCCGCCGCCGCCGCTCGGGCTCGGAGCCGCCATTGTTGGGAGTGAGGAGCCGAGCGGCGCCGCGGCGGCTGCAATGCAGCAAGCTCGGCCTCTCGCACGGCCGAGGGGCGTGGCCTGCGCCCGCCGTGGCCACGCCCCCGCCCGCCCCGGCCACGCCCCCGGCACGCCCCCGCCCGCGCCTGACGCGGAGCCCCGGCCAGCCGCGGAGCCGCAGAACCGCCCCGGGCGCGGGTGCGCGACCCCGGGCGGCGGGGGGTGGGGGGAGCGGAAAGCGGGCGGGGGGCCCCCGGGGGCTCCCGCGGTGTGCGGCCCGGGAGCGAGCGTGCGCGCGGCGCGGAGCCTTGTCGTTCCGGCAGAGGACCCCAGAAGCCGAAGAACCCCCGTGTCGGGGGCACCCGGGTGGCTCAGTGGTGGAGCGTCCGCCGTTGGCCCAGGCAGTGATCGTGGGGTCCTAGGATCGAGTCCCACATCGGGCTCCCCGCATGGGGCCTGCTTCTCCCTCTGCTTTTGTCTCTCTGTGCCCCATGAATACATAAATAAAATCTTTAAAAAAAAAAAAAAAAAGAACCCCCATGTTGGGGGGCACTTGACTGGCTCAGATGGTGGAGCATGGGACTCTGGATCTCCGGGGTCGTGCGTCCCAGCTCCATGCTGAGCATGCAGCCTACTGAAAATAAAACAAAAACAAAAACACCCACCTCCTTGCTGGAAACCTCAGAACCCAAAATCAGGCCGGTAAAGCTGAAAACGATCCCAGGGGTCATGCTTCCTGTCTAGCCTCTGACGTGGCACGTCCACAGAGGAGTTGGCCTCCATCTATGATTCCCTGTGGAGCTCCTGTTAGGCTCTCCCTAACACCCCAACTCTCTATAATGGCCTGGGGACTGCCAAGGGGGTGCCAAAGTATGCTCTATGGACTCATCCTGAAACTATGAATCAGAAGCTACATTTTAATAACATCTCCCGGTAATTTGTATAGACATTAAATTTGAAAAACAGTGTCTTAAGCACCCAACACTCCCTGGCCTCCCAAAATGCGCTGTTTATGTCACCATCTTCCCCTTCACACACACTGGGTTCCCTCTCCCACTGCCTCTGCAACTTATAAGACCAGGTGTGGTCATTATTATGGACTGCATAAAACGACAACCTCCCCCCAAAATCAGGTTTCTTCCAGTGCTTTGCACAGAGCCTTTGATTTTAGGAAGGAAGCAGCTAAAAGCAGAAAAATAGTCCTTGGTGAGGCTAAGAGTTTCCGAGCCAACGGAAATGTGATTGGGAAGATGGAGACCTGGGTCTCTGGGCAGAGGTAGGTCTTCCTATAATAGAATGACCAACAACACAACTTTGCAAGTAATCTAAACCGTGGAGCTGAACTGTCCTTGCCCTTTGGAAGCATTGCACAATGTACACAAGGTCCTCCTTCCATGTGGACCTTGTCTGTGCTGGAGCTTCCTCAAAGCATGCTGTAAATGTGTCCTGGGTCAGAAGAGCCCTGCCTTCTTGGTGCAGACCCAACTTCACCCTCATCATGATTGCTCGGATGCTAATAGTGGCTGGAGAAAGGGCTTAGGAAAAGTAAATTGGGGAGGCAATAAAGAACAATAAATAAATATTGAAGAGAGCAGGTAAATGTACTTAAGATGTACTTAAGGCTTTCAAATTCCACTCTGCCTCAGAACACCCCTTCTAGGGGAAGGGGTTTGGCTGAAGCAATATCTCCAAGTCTAAGTCATTATATGCACTGCCGAATCCCCATCTCAGAATCAGTAGCCCATCTTGCTCTTGTGGGTCCTGAGGAATCCAAAGGTGGGGTCCTTCCAGGGGAAATCTTATGAGAACTGGAAAGAAAAGGTTCCCATCCAGGCTATCTGGTCCAGGTTACAAGCTAAATATTCTGTCTACGTCTTCTGCCTGGTGCTCATGGGAAGAGGACAAAATGACAAAGAAAAGGAGGATCTGTGGCTCCTTATCATTCTCGCCTTTGAAGGTGCAGATTGGAAGATGGCCCCCTCTTCTTTGGAGTTTATACTTTTGTGCCTGGAGGGGCTAGTATCAAAAAGCAAATGAAGTTCCTCTTTCAAACTATGAAGACAACTTACCAACAATTAGAAAAGATTGATGCAGAAGAAGGAGGGACCGCCCTTCCCACGCAATTGTTTTGCATTTCCATTGGCTTGGCCTCTTTGGCATATTAAGAAAAGGCATCCACAGCCCTATAGTTTTGCTGACAAATGAACTAAATATAGTATCTTGTCATCATCAGGCTCCAGATGCAGCATGACCAGATACAAAATAGTTCTATTTGAGCAATTTTCAAACACTTTCTTCCAGTATCTGCCAGTATCTGCCAGTAGGGTTCCCAACCAGTTTCTGTTGTCTAAAAGTCACTGTTGTATGTGTGTGTCATCTCATTTCTCATTTCCAGCTCTTTGAAGATTGGAGTGATGCCAAAAAAATAGCTTGGAGGACTTTTGGTCTCCCCATCCCCATAAATACCATGAGAATCCCACTCCCATTCTTTGATGTGGGTAGTTGATTTATTTACAGTCTTACTATATAAAGTGCTACAGCCCTCTTTTCCAATTATACATATTTCTTTAATAAAGCTTGTTGTTTCTTTGATAGACATTCTAGAGGCAATACTAGTGATTATACAACTACTGGGAAGAGTTTTTTAAAACATACAGTTTTCCAGTATTATTTTAAATTATACATAAAAAGTTACATTTAGGATTATGCAAACCATCAATTACGTCTGCATACTGGCAAAAATGAGGAACAATCTTGATTTGTTCAAACTGACAAAGCTATAGGCTTTTTTAGTTTTTCTTTTTTTTAATTCTTTTTGGTAAAGATTTTATTTATTTATTTCAGAGAGAGAGCACTCAAGCTGGGGGGACAGGCAGAGGAAGAGGGAGATGCAGACTCCCCACTGAGCAGGGAGCCTGACACAGGGCTCAGTTGCAGGACTCTGGGATCACAACCTGAGCTGAAGGTAGACACTTAAAAGACTGAGCCACCCAAGTGCCCCTGCTTTTAACTTTTCCTTATGCTCATATTTTTCTTATATTTGTGTTTTATTGTTCATTATAGACTGAACTGTGTCCCCCCCCCCAAAAAAAAATAAAACTATGTATAAGTGACTGTACTTGAAGACAAAGCCTTTAAAGAGGTGATTAGGGTAAAGTGAAGTCATATGGGTGTGCCCTAATGCCATATGTCTGATGTCCTTTAAAGAGAATAAGACACAAACACACACTGGGAAAACTGGGAAAATGCAGGGAAGAGGCAGTCATGTACAAACCACGGAGAGAGGCCTCAGAAGACACTGATCCTGCCTACAACTTGACCTCAGACTTCCAGCCTCCAGGGCTGTGAGAAAATAAATTTCTGTTGTTTGAGCCCCCCAGTCCGTGGTAGGTGGTTATGACAGCCCTAACAAACTCATACATGGCTTAGAAAATTAATTGCTTAAAAAGATAACTCTTTAAGTAATAATAATAGTAGCTGGCATAATCTTTGGGGAGAAAACAAGCCAATTAGGCAGTAACTATCAATAATTCAAGAAATTCATGGGGTACCTGGCTGGCTTGGTCAGAAGAGAATGTAACTCTTGATCTTGGGGTGCTGAGTTCAGGCCCCATGTTGGGTAGAGAGATTACTTTTAAAAATCAATTAATTTAAAAATAAATCTTTTTTACAATTCACATTTAGAAGAGCTCCTTGAGAAAATCCCCACATGAGTTTGAAACTCTTGGCTCCTCCATGTAATGACATTTCTATGTCATTAAAGAGAATAGGAAATAACAGATTAAGACCATTGCCTGTCCTTCTCCCTCTGCTCCTCCCCTTGCTTGTGCTCTCTTTCTCTCAAATAAATAAGTAAAATCATTTATTTATTTTTTTAAAGATTTTTATTTATTTATTCATGAAAGACACAGAGAGACAGAGAGAGACACAGGCAGAGGGAGAAGCAGGCTCCATGCAGGGAGCCTGACACAGGACTGCATCCTGGGTCTCCAGGACCACACCCCGGGCTGAAGACGGCACTAAACCGCTGAGCTCCCGCACCCCCGCACCCCCCCCCCCCGGCTGCCCTACGTAAAATCTTTTAAAATAATAGTAATAAAAGAAAGGAATGGGCAGCCCGGGTAGCTCAGCGGTTTAGCGCTGCCTTCAGCCCAGGGCCTGATCCTGGAGATCTGGGATCGAGTCCCACGTCGGGCTCCCTGCATGGACCCTGCTTCTCCCTCTGCCTGTGTCTCTGCCTCTCTCTGTCTTTCTCTCATGAATAAATATATAAAATCTTAAAAAAAAAAAAAAGGAAGGAATCACCTAGGGTACAGCCATGCATGGTCCTCACAAGCAATGACGTGTTGTTGTGGATTTACATGAGACTGCGCAGGCATCTCTAGCTAAGTCTAGATTTTAGGATTTAATCATTACTTAGGGGAGGACAGTGTTGTTTTTGTTTTTGAGATTAAGTAACAATATCTGGTTTGAATTTAATAACATTGTTTTGTTTCATTGTGTTTTCTTGTAACAGCTTTGAGCTGTAATTCACCATACCATATAATTCACCCCTTTGAAGTGTACATTTCAGTAGTTTTTAGTATATTCAGAGCTGTATAGCCATCACCATCATCAAATTCAGAATATTTTCATCACCCCCAAAAGAAACTCCACACCCTATGCAGGTGCAGTCTCTTCCAATTGGCCCCCAACCTCCATCACTCCCTGGGCTTTAGACAACCACACTAATCTTTCTGTCTCTGTAGATTAGTATATTCTGAACATTTCATATAAATGAAATGATGCAATTATGTGGCCTTTTCTATCTGACTTCTTTCCCTCCACATAATGTCTTTAAGCTTTAGCCTTGTTGGTAGCAAGTATCAGGACCTCATTCCTTTTCATGGCTGTATGATATTCTGTATGAATACACTACATTTTGTTTGTCCATTTGTTCTACTTGTGGACTATTGTGACCAATGCTGCTATGAACATTTGTGTACAATTTTTCTGTTTACATATGTTTTCAAATATAAAAGTATGCACCTAGGAGTGAAATTGTTGGTTCATATGCTAAATCTAACCATTAACCATTGAGGAACTGCCAGATTCTTTTTTCTTTTTTTAAGATTTTATTTATTTATTCATGAGAGACACAGAAAGAGAGAGAGAGGCAGAGACACAGGCAGAGAGAGAAGCAGGCTCTATGCAGGGAGCCCGTCATGGGACTCGATCCTGGGACTCCAGAATCATGCCCTGGGCTGAAGGCGGCGCTAAACTGCTGAGCCACCCAGGCTGCCTGCCAGATTCTTTTCCAAACTGGTGGCACCATTTTACATTCCCTTTAACAGTGTATGAAAGTTCCAATTTCTCCACATCTTAGTCAACATTTATTATTATTGTTCTTGTTGTCATTGTTACTGTTATTAGTAGGTAACATTGATTTGAGTATACATCTGGAGCATCCACTGAAATGCATCTAGCAGACGTTGTATATTTTATAAACCAGACTAAAAATAAAATCAGATGTTCATTTCAAGAAGAGCTATCACAACACAAACTCTTGTGATCACAGATCAGTTACCTTGGGTACAATCAGACCACATTAACTATATGACTCAAGCTCATGAAATTGTGCTTTTCTCCAAGAGGTGCATACAGAGCTGTTGACTTATTCTAACTATCAGAAATCAGTAACTAAACTCTATTAGTAGTTGATGAAGCAATTTATCAGCAACATTGATTAATTGAGAAATTATTGCTGGACACAGGAAATTCTATATTTTTGGAATGTTGAAAAAATCTAATTACCCAAAATACACTCTCCATGGCATAAAAATGTTAATGTGCAGGAGAGAAGGTGTCACAAGAATACAAAGTCTGAATTAGATTTTATAAAAAGACAAAGTAGACACTTTGGAAAAATGTAACTTACCTTATATCAGTCAGATGTTTTATTAACACTAAATACATCTATGAAAAGTAACCCCATTGAACCCCAGGAACAGTTTATATGTTTGTTGATAATAGCTAAATGCCAGACAAACTTTTATTTATTGTTTGTTATTTTTCTTACGCACCCTCTACCCCCGGCATAAGAGTTGAACTCACTACCCAGAGATCAAGAGTCACTTGCTCCTCTAACTGGGCCAGTCAGGTGCCCCAACTTTCATTTAATAGATAAAGAGCACATAAACCAATAAATGAGCATCAACAATGCAATAGAAAAAAATGAGTAGGGATGCCCAGGTGCTCAGGGGTTGAGCATCTGCCTTCAGCTCAGGTCATGATTCCTGAATGGAACCTGCTTCTACCTTTGCCTGTGTCTCTGCCTCTGTGTGTGTGTGTGTGTGTGTGTGTGTCTCATGAATAAGTAAGTAAAATCTTTAAAAAAATGAGTAAAAGATAAATATAGATGACTTATAAACCAATGATTCCAAGTCTCATTCACATACTAATATGCATTAAAATAATAATATATATTTCCTTAGAAATTTGACAAATATAAATACATTAGAGAATATATTTTTCTATTTTTTAAAGATTTTATTTATGTATTTGAGAGAGAGAAAGAGCAAGCAAGAGAGAGTAGGGGCAGAAGGAGAGAATCTCAAGCAGATTTGGTACTGAGGGCAGAGCCCAACTTAGAGCTTGATCTCATGACCTGATAGTTCATGAAACATAGGTGCATTCTCATATCCATCAGAGTTGTAAGACTTTCACATGATGCTACATCAATATTTGTTATAAACAGCCAATTTGGGGGCACTGTACTGGGTCAGTCAGTGGGGAATGTGAAGTTTGATCTATGGGTCATGAGTTTGAGCCCCATTTGGGGTGTAGAGAAGACTTAAAAATTAAATCCAAAAACCCCTAAAATTTCATAAACGACCAGAAGTTTTACTCCATCCTACCTCCTTTTATCACCTTCATGTCCTTTTATCATCCTTTTCCTTCCTAACAATCATCTCCATTTCCCCCTTTCTTTGTATTTCCCTTTAAAAGAAACAAATCCTGGGGCACCTGGTTGGCACAATCAGTCATCAGACTCTTGATTTTGGCTCAGGTCTTGATCTCAGGGTTGTGAGATGGAGCCTCCCTCTCCTTCTCCCTCTGCCCATCCCCCACCTCATATAAATAAATAAATTTTCTAAAAAAATGAATACACATTCTAAAAATCCAGACTATCTCCTTCTTTCTCCAAACTGTGGTTTCTAAACCTCTGAATTTGTACTAGATGATTTGTTGTGAGTGCTGTGTTGTCCTGTGCATTATAGAATGTTTAGCAGCATCTCACCCCGCCCCCAACTTCTACCCAGTAGATGCCAGGAACACAACATCCCCACATCCCCATTGTGACAATCAAGTGACAGACTGCAATCCAGAGCTTCATGCAGTGTGGTTCCACTGGCATTCCCATCTTTACAGGTGACCTTCCATCCCTTGACCCAAGGCATGTTAACACTTGGCTCCAGCATGTTGTCACCATTCCAACCAGAAATTGGCACAAATGCTACTGTGTTGGGGTTGTAGCCAATTTTCTTAATGTAGGTGCTGACTTCCTTAATGATTTCCTCGTATCTCTTCTGGCTGTAGGGTGGCTCAGTGGAATCCATTTTGTTAACACCGACAATTAGTTGTTTTACACCCAGTGTGTAAGCCAGAAGGGCATGCCCATTCTTGGAGATACCTGCTTCAAATTCACCAACACCAGCAGCAACAATCAGGACAGCACAGTCAGCCTGAGATGTGCCTATAATCATGCTTTTGATAAAGTCTCTGTGTCCTGGGGCATCAATGATGGTCATATAATACTTGCTGATCTTGAATTTCCACAGGGAGATATCAATGGTGATACCATGTTCACGTTCAGCTTTTAGTTTATCCAAGACCCAGGCATACTTGAAGGAGACTTTTCCCATCTCAACAGCCTCCTTCTCAAATTTTTCGATGGTTCTTTTGTCAATCCCGCCACATTTGTAGATCAGATGGCCAGTAGTGGTAGACTTGCCCAAATCTACGGGTCCAATGACAATGATGTTCATGTGAGTCTTCTCTATTCCCATTTTGGTTTAGATTTAGAGGTGGTTTTTACAACACCTGTGTTCTGGTGGCAAACCCGTTGTGAAAAAGCACCTTTTTACTTTTGACATGACCCACAATAATGTTTTTCTATGGGTTGGGGCCACACACTTCCTAGACAAAGAAAAAGATTTCCTATTCATCATCTGAATGAAACTGGACAAGTTCATTATCAAGTTCATATGGAAAAATAAACTGAAATAGTCCCCCACAAAAGTCTGAAAAAGAAGAAAAATAAGGGAATTTAGCTCTGCAATATATTAAAATATTTTAAATCTACAACGATTAAAATTGTATGGAGCTGGCACATGAATAGACAAACAGATGGGACTAATTAGGAAGACCAGAAATAAACTCAAATGCTTATACAAATATAGTATAATTAGAGGCGCCTGGGTGGCTCAGTCGGTTAAGTGGTTAAGTGCCTGCCTTTGGTGCCTCAGGGTCCTGGGATCAGGCCCCACGTCAGGCTCCCTGCTCAGCAGGATGTCTGTTTCTCCCTCTCCCTCTGCCCATTTCCCTGCTCATGCTCTCTTTCTTTCATAAATAAAATTCTTTAAAAAAAAAATCACAAGGGGCACCTGTGTGGTACAATAGGTTGAGTCTGACTCTTGGTTTGGGCTCAAGTCGTAACCTCAAGGTCGTTGAATGGAGCCCTGCTTCAGCCACCATGCTCAGTGCAGAGTTTACTTAGGACTCTCTCTTTCCCTCTCCCTCTGCCCCTCCCCACCTCTGCTCCTTTTCTGTCTCTAAAATAAATAAATAAATCTTTTTTTTTTAAGGGGGGAAATCACAAGGAAAATAAAATACATTTACAATACTGTACTTTATTGGAAAAAAAAATCAGGTATAAGTCAACCCGCGCATTTCAAACCCATGTTGTTCAAGGGTCAACTCTTTATGTTTTCAGGCACATGGAGGAAATCTTAGATCGTCGTTCAGTAGACTGCAAAAGAAGTCCAGATCCCACTTCAGAGTCAAGTACAACCCTGAATCCTTGTTTTCCGTCTCCCAGATGGGACTTGAGATTCTAACTCCCTCCATCCCTTCTTTTGCTCCCAGTCCACACGGGCTGTGATCTAAATAACTCTATTGCTCCTGTCATGAGTTTTCCAAGGCACTCAAAATTTCAAATACCATGTTCCCAATTTTGAACCATGAGATGTGAATTCTGGTTCTGGAAATATAGTTACAGTATACCTTGGCTCAATTTTGATCAGTTGACCTTGACCAATTCCTTAGTATTTCTCTCTTGGGAGTTCCCACCACCATGAAATACATGAAAATGGAGAAGAAAAGTTCCTAGATGCCTACTGCCTCAGAAGGATGAGCAAGCTATTAATGTATAAGGGTGCTGACAAGGAATAAGGCTCTGACAAGGCCAGTGCCCTGCCCAGTCTGCAAGTACTTGGCCTTGCTTTTTCCCGAGTACTCCCAGACCCTCTGGCCAGCAAAGCTCTCAGGCATCCCCAATGGGCTCTAAGACCCAGAATCTAAGGTGGGCATCATTAGCCTCTCATCTCTTGTATTATGGATGATATTCCTGAGCAATCCTGTGCAAATGTCTTCAGAGGTCAGGTAGTAAAGTACTGTGAATAGGTAGAGATTTGATTTAAAGGGATGATCAGACTTACGGTGAGCGAGAAACATGCACCATAAAAGGCATTCACATTCAAAGAAAGAATTGTTAAAATTGTGCTTGCGACATGAAATACTGGCTGCCAGTTTGCATCTCCTGGTTTGGAGGATCCACACTGGCATCAGAGAGAAGGGATCTTGGGTAGCATTCTAGAAGCTATAAATAATGTATTCCAGGGGGGCCTGGGTGGTTCAGTTGGTTAAGTCTTTGGCTTAAGCCATGATCTGGGTCCTGGGATGGAGTCAGGCTCCCTGCCCATTGGGGAGTCTGCTTCTCCCTCTCCTCCTGCCCTTTCCCTCTCCACCCTCTGTTCTCTCTCTCTCTCTCTCTCTCTCTCTCTCTCTCTCTGTCTCTGTCTCAAATAAATAAAATCTTAAAAAAAAAAAAAGAATACATTCCATGCCTACCTAATTATTGGTAACCATCTCCTTCCAAGATGGGCTCTTTTCTTTTTCGTGCCTTTGGCTACATGCTGTTTCTTCTGCATGTCTCCATGGGCAACCTAAATCTCTCTGTGGTGACCCTCTTCAGGACTTTCTAAGACAGGCTACCACCGCTGATTAATTTAATTTTCTTTCTGTTCTCCTAGCACTGCATAATGAAGAGGCTACATTCGGGGGGGGGGGGAGTCTTTTTTTTTTTAAAAATTGAACCCTGGTGTTGGGTTAATCCCAACTCTTTTTTCTGTGTGTTCTCCACTGTTCAGACCCTTTAGGCTAATTTGCAGTGACAGATGAGTCACCTGTCTTGCTATCTCCCCAAGGGAGGAAAGAGCTTGCTTCTCTTATTGATCTAGGAGACCTTCAGGAGTCACCACATGCTCCTGGATGCTTCTGTCAGAGAGAGAAAAGTTCAATCTGGAAAACCCAGTGCAGACAGAAGCTCAGCATGGGCAGATGTCCAGCCATCCCTAGCATCAGACAGCAGGGACAGATGGGGCTTCCCACTGTTCAATGCTGATGGGATTTTTGGGAGTTCCAGCCATCAAGAAGAGGTAAATGTCACAGGCATAGCAAGGGCAAGGGCTGGTTGTCCAATGTTGGCAGGATCATCAGCTCAGCAAAAGGTCATGCAGCCTAAAGCAAAGGAAGAGCATGGGTGCCAACAAGCGACCATGCAAAAAGCAGAAGTCAGTGGGCAAGAGGTCAAGATAAGGCACTTTTGGAGACCTGAGAAGGAGAATTGTGGGTGGCAGAAGGTTTAAGGGGGTCTGAGTCCTCTTACTCAATCCTGAAGGTTGTTACCTGAATAGAACCCTCCAGGTTTTAAAGGGGCCGTGGGTCAGTTAATGAGATGAAGAATCACCCATAGTCTTTCCAGATCTGCATTTTTTCAGAAAAAAAAAAAAAAAAGCCTGGAGTTTTTTTCCTGGCATGAACTGACATTCAAAAAGGCATCAACATATATATAGAGTCTCCATCAGGTTTGTGTCCAACATTCAGTGAATTTTAGACCCAACTCTCTCTCTTCATGGTGGAAACTGGAATCTTAGTATCTACAGGGACAGAGATTAAGCTCAGAAGCACAGGCCGACCCTAAACAAACAGAAACAAAATAAAATAAAGCTCGGGCCTGTCACAGGAAACTGCATTAACAGGAGATAGATGGGTGTCTCTGTGAGAGGACATCCACAGTTTTCTTTGGGAATTACTTGTAATCTTGAAGAAATAGTATTTATTACACAATGCAGATTGTCATATTTTACTTTTTTTTAAATTTATGATAGCTACAGAGAGAGGGAGAGAGGCAGAGACACAGGCAGAGGGAGAAGCAGGCTCCATGCACCGGGAGCCCAACGTGGGATTCGATCTCGGGTCTCCAGGATCACGCCCTGGGCCAAAGGCAGGCGCCAAACCGCTGCGCCACCCAGGGATCCCTCATATTTTACATAACTAAATTCATTTAGATGAGACTTAGCCACATTTCTAATCATTCCAAAGTGTTTTTTTTTCTTCTCAGATATTTGGGCATTATGTAGAAACTCTGTGGCAAAAGGGCTTATGCTCAAATATAATAATTTTTATTACCTTTTTTTTTCACAAATCCATTCTAAAATGGGTGGTGTATAAATATTAGGATACCAGTAACAGTGAGATTTTACTACATGCCAGGCATCATCATGGGCATTTTACATACATCATTTCAGTTAATTCTCTTAACAATCCTAAGAAAAGGGGCACCTGGATCACTCAGTGGTTGAGTGTCTGCCTTTGGCTCAGGGTGTGATCCGAAGGTCCTGGGCTCGAGTCCCACATCGGGCTCCCTGCATGGAGCCTGCTTCTCCGTCTGCCTGTGTCTCTGCCTCTCTCTCTCTCTCTCTCTCTCTCTCTCTCTCTCTCTTTCTTTCTCTCTCTCTGTGTTTCTCATGAATGGATAAATAAATAAATCTTTAAAAAATAAAAAAATAATATATATCCAGGGACTCCTGGGTGGCTCAGTCAGTGAAGTGTCTGCCTTCAGCTGGGCTTATGATCCTGGGGTCCTGGGATCCAACCCCACATCATCCGGCTCCCTGCTTCTCCTTCCCACTGCTTGTGCTCTCTCTTTCTGTCAAATAAATAAATAAGATCTTAAAAAAAAAATCATATACCCAGAGGTGCCTGGGTGGCTCAGTGGTTAAGCGGCTGATTCTTATTCTCAGATCAGGTCTTCATTTGAGAGTTCAAGCCCCACGATGGGCTCCATGCTGGGCATGAAGCCTACTTGAGGGGGAGAAAAATCAAATACCCAGGTCCCACCTCTCAGAGAATCAGATTATGGACAAAGGCAAGAAATCTGGACTTAACATGCCTTCTGTGTGAGTCTCATGTGTGCAGCCAGGTTTAAGAAGTCTGATTTAGAGCAGTGGGCTTATGGGCTCTAGTCTTTTCTAATGAAGCACTCTTTACCAGTTAAAAAAAAATTGAGGATGAGGAAGCAACTATCTGTAGTTGCATTATTCATAAATAATAAACATGTGCTATTTTGCCTTTATATTCTATATTATAAAACATATGCAAAGTAAAGGTTGAGGAAAGCTGAGGTGAGAATACAAAATATTTGAAAAATATTTTTCTTATTGAGTAAAGAAAGTTCTCATAAAAATATAATGAACTGGCAGCCCTGGTGGCCCAGTGGTTTAGCGCTGCCTTTGGCCCCAGGGAGTGATCCTAGAGAGCCGGGATGGGGTCCCATGTCGGGCTCCCTGAATGGAGCCTGCTTCTTCCTCTGCCTGTGTCTCTGCCTCTCTCTCTCTCTCTCTCTCTCTCTCTCTCTTCTGTGTCTGTGATGAAGAAATAAAATCTTAAAAAAATAATGAACAATAAAATAAATATGCTGCATTCTCTGATCAAATCCTGGGTTATG